TCAAAATGAGTGTAATCGTGACCTACTTTTCTTTACTTGATTCACCTGGAGGGACCATGCGCCTTTAAACCGAAAATCTCAAAGTGGGCGGAGCCTAGTCGTGTTTACACTCATTTTGAAGTTCGCAACAAGCTGAATAAGAATGTGCAATTGAATTTCAAAAATAAGCAATTTGAAGTGAGTTATGATGGAATGTTCGAAAATTTGAAAAAAAAATCATTCGTTTTTGGAAAGCGAAAAGTTTTCGTATATTTTGAGAAATTTGGGAATTTCAAAGATTTTACGAATTTCTCAGTTTTCGAAATTTGAATTCCTGTATTTTCTAAACCTCTGATTTTCAGAATTTTTTTCGAGCTTCTGGCTTTACCAAAAACTTGATGATTATTTTTTTCAAATTTTCAAAATTTTTCTCATAACTCACTTCAAATTGCTTATTTTTGAAATTCAATTGCACATTCTTATTCAGCTTGTTGCGAACTTCAAAATGAGTGTAAACACAACTAGGCTCCGCCCACTTTGAGATTTTAGGTTTAAAGGCGCATGGTCCCTCCAGGTGAATCAAATTCAAGAAAAGTAGGTCATGATTATACTCATTTTGAAGCTCTTGACAAAATACAAACAACAAACTTGTTTTTTGTGAGATTCGGTCAAAGGTAAGAAAATGAGGGTCCCTAGAAAAATTCAAAGATCCAAAAATTAAAAATTTCAGGTGGTCCACCTGGAAAAGTTCACTATATCAGCCTACTAATGGTGGATATGGATGAAGGGATCATAAGACTTCCAGTTGGTGTAAAGTTCTGTATCAATGTGATGATTCTGACTGGACACAATGTGAATGAAGTTTACAAAAAGATCGAGAAAATTATCGATTTGAACAGTTTTCCGATTCAAACGCTGATTGTGGAAATTGAAGGACCCGACGATCCATTTTTGAAAAGAAAAGATTTGGCTTGGGAAGCTCAATTTTTGGATTTATGTCTTCCGAATCCCAAAAAGTTCCCCAAGATTCCAAAACAGGACTGGAGGGAGATTTTTCGGCATTTCCACCACTCGAACTTTCATATTTCGGAGCTCGAGCTGCATGAGGACGAATTTTTGGAAATTGTCAGAGATTGGATATGTTGCCCGCGCAAAATTGGATCGAGATTTGGGATGAATTCGACACGAATTTCGCATTTGATGAATTTGGTGTGTAGTGACTATGGAGCAGCCAAGGGGACACTTGTGCTGGCAGGGTGAGTGGTTTTGTTTGGGAAAATGGATTTTGAGAAAACCTGAAAATTGGAGATTCGAACTTTCAAAAAAAATCAAAATTCGAAATTCGAAAATCCAAAAATTCAAATATTCTGAAATGGAACAATTTTTTGAGGGGTCCTAATTTTCTCATTTTTCACCAAAACCTAACAAGTTAGCTGGTTGTATTTTGTCGATCGCTTCAAAATGAGTGTAATCGTGTACTACTTTTCTTGAATTTCATTTTTCTCGAGGGACCATGCGCCTTTAAACCGAAAATTTCAAAGTGGGCGGAGCCTAGTCGTGTTTATACTCATTTTGAAGCTAGCGACAAGGTGAGTAAGGATATGTAATTGAATTCAAAAAATAGAGAATTTGAAGTGAGTCATGAGGAAATTTTCAAAAATTTGAAGAAAAAAATCCAATAAACTCCCCAGTTTTATGTGTTTGTTGATGTGGGGGGGCGGGTAGTTTATGGGACTTCTCCAATTTTCGAGATATAAGTTAGCCTAAACAGCTCCAGAAAAATCTAGAAGGATCTAGAAAGACCTCACAAGACTCTAGAAAGCTCTAGAAAGATCCAGAAGGATCTAGAAGGATTAGAAGGATCCAGAAGAATCCAGAAGCGTTTATATTATGCTTTAGAAGTCTCCAAAAGGATCCAGAAGGATCAGAGGAATCCGGAAGGCTCTAGAAGGTTCTAGAAGGATTCAGAAGGATCCAGAAGAATCCAGTAGGATCTAGATGAATTCAGAAGGATCCAGAAGGACCCAGAAGGATTCAGAAGGATCCAGAAGGATCCAGCAGGATCTAGATGAATTCAGAAAGATTTAGAAAGATCCGAAACTTCAGGATTTTTCGGAACCTTTGAACTTTGAAAATTTTCTAAATTCGGAACTTTTGAACTTCTGAACTCCCGAGCTTCTAAATTTGTGATCTTCTGAAGTTCTGGAATTTCTGGAAATTCTAAAACTTCTGTAGTTTCTGGAAATTTTGAACTTCTGAACTTCAGAATTACTCCATTTCAAGATTTCTGAATTTCTGAATTTCTGAATTTCTGAATTTCTGAATTTCTGAATTTCTGAATTTCTGAATTTCTGAATTTCTGAATTTCTGAATTTCTGAATTTCTGAATTTCTGAATTTCTGAATTTCTGAATCTCTGAATTTCTGACTTTCTGAATCTCTGAATTTCTGACTTTCTGAATTTCTGAATTTCTGAATTTCTGAATTTCTGAATTTCTGAATTTCTGAATTTCTGAATTTCTGAATTTCTGAATTTCTGAATTTCTGAATTTCTGAATTTCTGAATTTCTGAATTTCTGAATTTCTGAATTTCTGAATTTCTGAATTTCTGAATTTCTGAATTTCTGAATCTCTGAATTTCTGAATTTCTGAATTTCTGAATTTCTGAATTTCTGAATTTCTGAATTTCTGAATTTCCGAATTTCCGAATTTCTGAATTTCTGAATTTCCGAATTTCCGAATTTCTGAATTTCTGAATTTCTGAATTTCTGAATTTCTGAATTTCTGAATTTCTGAATCTCTGAATTTCTGACTTTCTGAATTTCTGAATTTCTGAATTTCTGAATTTCTGAATTTCTGAATTTCAGGAATTTTAGGAATTTCTGAACTTTTGAATTTTTGAACTTCTAAATTTCTGAATTTCTGAATTTCTGAGTTTCTGATTTTCTTAATTTCTGAATTTCTGAACTTCATTTCCTGAATTTCAGGAATTTCAGGAATTTTAGGAATTTCTGAACTTTTGAATTTTTGAACTTCTGAAGTTTTTGGATTTCCTAATTTTCGAACTTCTGAACTTCTGAATTTGAAAACTTTGCTTTTCCAGAAACTACCAAATCCCCTACGCCATGATCATCCCAGTCAGTGCGACAGCGCAAAACGAACTGCTCTGCTACATGGAAAAATCGCCATTCTACGAGCAAGAGATTACCAAACAAAGTGAGCATCAGCAGAAATGGCAAATCGTGTTGGGCAGTTTTCCACTGGGATCTATTCAAGATATTGTACTAATTTAATTTTTGTGATTCTATCTATTTTTTTTGTCTATTTTTTGAAATCTGTATTCTTTGAAATCTATTTTCTTGAAATTTTTATTTTAGACTCATTTTTTTGGTATTTCAAATATTTTCACAATTACAGAAAATGAATGAAATTTAATCTTCTTGAGGATCAGAGGAATACAGAAATAGTGTATGTGAGAGAGAGAGAGAGAGAGAGAGAGAGAGAGAGAACGAGGAAAATGGTTCTTTATATATCATAATGTCAGCAAAACGAATATTTCTCTGCGTCTCTCCTAAACACACACTCTCGTTTCTTCCAATGAGTAACGACAGGCGGATAGTGGTACAGAAGGGGGGAGGATGTTGTGAAATGTTCTCAGGAGCATCACTCGCTGGAATTCCGAATTTTTTAGATGAAAATTATAGTATTTTAAAGATCATAAAATGGCCAACATTTAGATACCCCATAAGGTCTAGCTGGGAAAATTGGAAAGTGGAGAAAAAGGGACAGGAAGATTTTTGGTTCTAGACTTGTTGAGAGAAAAGAGTAAGAGAGAGGGGGATAGTGAGAGACGCAGCAATTTGAGAGATGGAATATGCTTAAAATTTATGATTAAACAATTACCAGTCGGTTTAGGGCCCCTTCGGGGCTAAACCTCCTGGCTTCTGGTCGCCCTCCACTGTCGCCCTTTCTGCCCACCACCCTTTACTGAGGTGAAACCAAGGAACGCCTCCAGAAGACTCCAAAATCAAAATTTCGAAAAACCAAAAGTTCGGGCATCAACTAAGACACAATTCTGATCTATCTGTCCAGGTTTCGGTTTGATCGGTAAACTTTGAATGGGTGATAAGGTGCGCTACATACATACGCACATGCAGAATCTGGTGAATGTTATTAGTAATGATTACGACACTCCGAAATGACGCATTGCGCCCAGTTTAGTGGGATTTTTCGGAACAGTCCCCATAATTTCCTTTCTGCTCTCTTCCCTCTTTTCTCCTGTATGTACAGAGAGGAGTCCCATACGCATATCATAAAAAGTGCTTACCAGTACCTCGTTCCTATGCTTGCGAATCTCTCCCACTGTCTGCGTCTCTAAATCTCTAATCTATTTTTAGAAAAATGAGATTTTAAAAAGGTTTTCAGGTTTTGGAAATTAAAATTTTCCATTTTTGAAAAATTATTAATCTTCATCTATTTAAATCTCCTCCCTTTTGTTCTTTTTTCATCTATTGGTTGAATTTTTAAATATATTTTTTTTCAGATTTTCATAAAACTACTGAAACCCTTCGGTGTCCACCTTCAGGTCAACATGGAACCGGTGAGTATTTATTCCAAATTTTCGAAATTTCTAATTCTGAAATTTAGCAATTCCAAATTCTAAATTCTAATCATACAAATTTCCGAAATTCTGAAATTCTGAAATCCCAAAATTCTAAAGTTCTGAATTATGAAAGTTTCGAAAACTCCTAGATTCCATATTCTGAATTTTGAAATTCCGAAATTCCAAAAATCCAAATTCCTAAAATGCAAACACCAAGTTTCAAATTTCCCAAATTCCGTAATTCTGAAAATTCTAAGACTCTCAAAAATTTGGAAATTCCAAATTTTGATATTCCTAAATTCAAAAATTCAAAAGTTCAAAAACTCGAAATTCCAATATCCCAACATTTCGAAATTCTGAAAATCTTGAAAATTCTATGACTCTCCAAAATTCGAATGTTCTAAATTTCAAAATTTCCAATTTTTCAAAATCCCGAAATTCCAAACTTCCTTTATTTCTAAGTTTTAAATTCTGAATTCGGAAATTTCGAAATTACTGAATTCCAAAATTCGGAAATTCCAAAATTCTGACAGTTTTGATAGTTCCAGAACTCTGGAAAATCTAAAAATTCTGAAGATTCCGAATTTCAAAATTCCTGATTCTTCGATTCCAGATTTCAAAAGTTACGAAATTCTAAAATTCCAAATTCTAAATTCTAAAATTCTGAAATACCTGAATTTTTAAATTCCTAAATTCCAAAGCTCTGAATTTTCTTAGAATTTCCAAACTTCTGAATTCCGGAAATCCGGAATTCCAATATTCCAAAATTCCCAATATTCCAAAATTCTAAAGTTCAGAAATTCGGATATTAAGAATTTCCAAATTTCAAAATTCAAAAAAAAATCTGACATTTTGAAAATCCTAAAATTCTAGAAGTCAAAAAATCCAAATTTCGATATTTCTAAATTTCAAAATAACAAACTCCAAAATCCCGAGATTTCAATTTTCTAAATTCCAAATTTTATAAAAATTCAAAAGTCCAAAAAAACTAAAATTCCAAAGCCCCTAAATTCCAAGATCTAAATTTCCAAAATATAAAATTCTGAAATTCTGAAATTTCTGAAATTCCGAAATTCCAAAACTTGAAATCCCTAATTGTAAACTTCGAAATTCCAAATTTTTCTGAAATTCTGCTCTGAATTTTAATTCTTCAATTCAGAAATTCAGAAATTCAGAAATTCAGAATTTCAGAAATTCAGAAATTCAAAAATTCAGAATTTCAGAAATTCAGAAATTCAGAAATTCAGAAATTCAGAAATTCAGAAATTCAGAAATTCAGAAATTCAGAAATTCAGAAATTCAGAAATTCAAAAATTCAGAATTTCAGAAATTCAGAAATTCAGAAATTCAGAAATTCAGAAATTCCTGAAATTCGGAAACTTAGAAATTCAGAAATTCCAGAAATTAAAAAAAATCAGAAATTCAGAAATTCAGAAATTCAGAAATTCAGAAATTCAGAATTTCAGAAATCACAAATTCCAATTTCCGTGTTTCCGAGTTTTCTAAATTGGATTTCCTAAATTTCTAAGTTCTCTAATTCTGAGATTCTAAGGTTTTCAATGTTTCCTAGAATTCAAGAAATTCTAGATTTTCTAGATTTCTTAGATTCTTTTAGTTTCTATAGATCGAAAATTTCCGAAATTCTGAAACTTTCATGATTCTAAACATTTTCAAAAATATATTTTTCAGAAAACCTCCAAAGGAAAGCTGTCTCTAGAAGAGATGAATAGAATCGACGCGCTCAAAGAAGCAGGAAGGAGCCTAAATGAAATTGCTGAGCAATCCGAAAGGAGCAAAACTACAGTAACCGCCTATTTGAAAAATAGGGAAGTTAGAAGAAAGAAGGCTGAAGGCGTCCTAACCGAAAATCAAAAAGAAGAGATTCTGAGGCTAAAAGGAGAAAGTCTTCGAAAAATCAAGATGACGTTAAATTTGACATGCTCGCCGGCCACAATTAGGCGGGTGATAAAAAAAGAGAAGAGAATGCTAGAGATATTGTGGATGCCATGACAGAAGATCCAGAGGAAGATGATAATGAAGAAGACGTCGATCTAGAAGTCGTGGACAGACCTGTAGCTAGCGGAGCTAAAGGAGCAGATGATTATGAAGAAACTGATGATGATGACGATGATGTGCAAGATGAGCAAAGAATTGGAGACGTACAACGCCGAGGATCCAAGGAGGACGTCACTGACTTTCAAATTTCTAGAAGTTATGATCCAGAATTCGCGGAAAGAGTTGAAGCCGAGGGATCTCCAGCTGGCGAAGCTGATTGGATGGATGAATATGAAGAGGACGACGATCTAGAAGTTGGAGATGTTCGCCGAGGATTCAATGAAGACGTCGATGATATCGAAACTTCAAGATGCTCAGAGCCAGCAAAAGCAGTTAGGGAGCAGCCAGAAGTTGCAGAAGGATCCGACGAATATGAAGAAGATGATGATGACGAGGATGTACGAGATGAGAGAAGAATTGGAGAATTTCCAGCATGGGTTGGCAGGTACTGTGAAAATCAGGGATTTCGAAAAATCAAAAATTCTAAAAATCAAAAAAATTCAGAAATGAAGACGTCGATGACTTCGTATCTCCAACAAAAAACCTGTCTGTAGAAGCGATCAAGGAAGAGCCTGAGGTCATGGACGGATCTCGAGCTAGCGACTCTGATGGATCAGATGTGTATGAAGAAACAGATGATGAAGACGTGAGCAACATTAGAAGTGAGCAAAAAGATGTAGGCGTTCGTCAAGGAGGAGAAGAAAAAAAGGACAGCGAAGATCCAAAGATCCAGGAGCCAGAAGTCGAGGAGATGGAAGTTGACGTCGCTCAAGAAGCTTCAGAAGACGTGAAGAACCAGCCAGAGTTGGTTCGCTTGGGAGGGAGAACGGACGTCGGGAATTGGAGTGTGAGTTTTTTTTCCAAAATCCAAAATTTCAAAATTCAAAATTTCAATAAAAATATTCTAAGATTCTAAGATTCTAAGATTTTAAGATTCTAAGATTCTAAGATTTTAAGATTCTAAGATTTTAAGATTCTAAGATTCTAAGATTCTAAGATTCTAAGATTTTAAGATTCTAAGATTTTAAGATTCTAAGATTTTAAGATTCTAAGATTTTAAGATTCTAAGATTCTAAGATTCTAAGATTTTAAGATTCTAAGATTCTAAGATTCTAAGATTCTAAGATTTTAAGATTCTAAGATTCTAAGATTCCAAGTTTTTGTTTTCAGCGCGATCAAGTCCAATCCTGGGCAGACCAATTCCTCTCCCCAGAGCAATCAGTTGATTTTCAAAAAATGAAACTGACAGGGGCGGGGCTTCTCCACTTTCTCTTCAATCACCAACCTCCAGAGGGTCTTGAAGACGTTCTTCAAATCATCAAGACTCATCTGCGCCCCATCGCAGATCTCGAGCTCCCGCGGCTCAACGAAGAGAGAGAAGCAGGTCTTCTTCTGATGGAAAACAAAGGCACCGAAATTGGGTTCAAAAGCTCCCAGTGCTTCATGAACTCCACCTGCCACTCCTATACTCATGTAAGGAGGTTCGGAAGGCTCTGAGCAGGTGGTCCGACGACCCCTTCTTGCGAATGGTCAGTGGGATCTTCGACAGGACGACCAATTCTGCAAGGGATTGGAGAGCCACTTTGGATCATGAGTATCACACGGGACATCATGATATTCGATTTGTTTTCCAGGGGCTCATGAAGGTGGGAGGGGATTTTTTTTTCAATTTCTAACACCTCTAATAATAGGTCAGTAGATTCTAATAGCTCAGAAAACGAGTCAAACAGTTCTAATATCTCGAAAAATGGGTCAGAAAGTTTTAATATCTCAAAGAACAAGTCAGCAGATTCTAATAGTTCAAAAAATAGGTCAATAGATTCTAATACCTCCAGAAGTAGGTCAGTAGATTCTACTATCTTTAAAAATGGGTCAGTGTATTCTAATAGCTCGAAAGAGAGGTCAGCAAGTTTCAATAGCTCCAGAAATAGGTCAGTGGATTCTAATAGCTGGAAAACAGGATCTGCAGATTTCAATAGCTCAATTGATAGGCCAGTAGAATCAAACAGCTCAAAAAAATAGGTCAGTATGTTCTAATATCTCAAATAATAGGTCAAATGATTCTAATAGCTCGAAAAATGGTTTCTAATAGCTCATAAAAGATTTTTTTTTCAAAACCACGATTTCCAAAACCTCCGCCACCACGAAAACCGAGTTTCCTCTCTCCAATTCCTTCAATGGAAAGAGAAAAAATGCTTCCACTGCCAGAACATCGAGCTCCGATCTACCGATGGAGTGGTGTGGAGCACAAGGGACTACACCTTCCTAACAATCCAAAATGGATCGTTTAATAACTCCCTGAGAGTTGCCTACTCACCGATGGTATCAGGAGAATGCTCGAAATGCGGAAGTGTGGTACAGAAAATCACCAGAGTGGAAGCTCAACAAGCCCAATACCATTTTTTGATGATTTCGGGAACAATTTCGGATATCAATTCGGAGAGCGAGGTGGCGATGTTTGGGCATCAATGGAGGATCAGAGGATTCGCGGAGAGAGTGATGCTGGGAGCGGTGGGACATTTTGTGTCGTGGTTTCGAAATTTGGATCATTGGTATCTGGTCGACGATGAGCAATCGAAGGATATGGGACATCAGGCTGTGAACTTCACGAATAGGAATATTATGATTTTGGTTTTCGAGAAGGTTCTTTGAATGGTAAGTCTAGAATTTTTGTGATGAATTTATATAATCAAAACGTTCTAGAAACTTCAGACCCTCATTGTTCATCTGGCGGCTATATGGACCCCATCAACTCAATTCTCATCCTATCTCTATAGTTTCTTCTTTGTGAGTTTTTCAGAAATTCAAAAATACAAAAATTCAAAAAAGCGGGAATTTAAAATTTTCACAAAAAATGAAAATTTCATATTTTTTTCAAGTGGTCCTAATTTTCTTATTCTTGGGGAGGGACCATGCGCCTTTAAATTCAGAAATTCAGACGTTCAGAAATTTAGAAATTCAGACGTTCAGAAATTCAGAAATTCAGAAATTCAGAAATTCAGAAATTCAGAAATTCAGACGTTCAGAAATTTAGAAATTCAGACGTTCAGAAATTCAGAAATTCAGAAATTCAGAAATTCAGAAATTCAGAAATTCAGAAATTCAGAAATTCAGAAATTCAGAAATTCAGAAATTCAGAAATTCAGAAATTCAGAAATTCAGAAATTCAGAAATTCAGAAATTCAGAAATTCAGAAATTCAGAAATTTAGAAATTCAGAAATTCAGAAATTCAGAAATTCAGAAATTCAGAAATTCAGAAATTCAGACGTTCAGAAATTCAGAAATTCAGAAATTCAGAAATTCTGAAATTCAGAAATTCAGAAATTCAGAAATTCAGAAATTCAGAAATTCAGAAATTTAGAAATTCAGAAATTCAGAAATTCAGAAATTCAGG